ATTAGGGTTATATATATTATATGGTTAGGTCCCTTATGTAATCACAAGAATAAAAAACATAACTGACGGCTCCACAACTTGCCTCATTGAGAGTTTTGAATGAGAGTGTGAGATACAGAGGAAGATCCGGTCATTCATCTTTTCGAGATTCCAAATCATAACTTTAACAAGTAAGTATTGATATTCTAATTTCATATAATCGATCAATGAATATTTCCGCTTACATTAGAGCTTATATTATATGAGTTACGACTCAATTATTTGTGGTTAATATATATGTCGCACCCTAATTTTTTACTTTAAGATCCCACTTATTTTGCATCATCTGTATAGTTTATTATCTCTTACATTTTTCATAATACCCAATTTATCAGCTGGAATAAACTTGTCGGAATTACAGCTGAATCGGTCAAACTAAAAGTCAACTGTGCGTAAAATCAGTGGAAGAAAAATTTTAAAATCGAGCCTGCAAACGTCGGTGATATTAATCTACATTTTGCGTAGTTTAACCTGACATGCTCATTTAAATTTTACGACCATTTTTCGGTCATATTTCTGGACAGCTTAAGCCGTTTTAGCGGGTAAAAGTTATTTCAAAATTTGACCAAACGCTGTATTTTTTTGAATCGTATATTTTTTGCTGATCACTTTGGTGTATTCATTTTATTTTTTCGAGTACTTCGATATCGGTCTAATTATTCATTTTTTACCGTCTTTATTTCTATTTTTAATTAATATATTTTAACTAATCATATTCTATTCAATTTTTTTATTTTTAATAGTTAATTTTATTTTTAGGTAGATAAGTTTTAGAAGTCTATAATTTTATAGTATATATACAAAAGATTTTGTTCAAGTTTTTAGTAATATAGTGTATATAGTACAGCCTGCAGGACTAGTCTCTCTTTCTTTTCCCATGCACATACTAGGGCTGGGCAGCGGGTCAGATCGGTTCAGGCCCAGAATCTTAATCCGACCAATCCATCGGGTGAGTAATTTTAATCCATTTTTAACCGGATTGGATTTCGGGTTTTTCGGGTTCGGGCCTTCAGTTCAGTTTTCTCCGGATTTGACAGATTTGGGCCCAATAAAATAAATATACCAAATTCAATATAAAATCAAATTGTTTAACTAAAATTAAAATTAATCCTTCCAAAGACCATATAAAATCTAAGTTTAAATTAATCCTTCCAGCATAATTTAATACATGTAGTAACATAAACAAAGCCAAATAAATCTAATAACATAAACCAACACAGCCAAAGCACCATTGTGAAACCAGGACTTGAAAAACCTTCCATTTTATATGTATTTTGGCATGTTTGAAATACATATAAAGGTCTGCACCACCACCACCAACAAGGGATAAGTAGATGTAGATGTAGCAGCAGTTATGCCTGCCAGCCCACCACCAACAAAATGTATGCAAAGGTCTGCACTGACATTATCCTTATTACTTTGCAGTTGCGGAACCGTTCTCAGCAACTGCACATATAAAACACCAATCAATATAAAAACAACAAAGAACAAAAGAATATATTTGTTATCATAAAATACCTATATCCTTACCTTCTTGTAATGCTCGTAAGAATAAAAGTTAACTATCGGTGAGCAATTGTAACCAGGTTCCCTTTCCAGAAAGCTCTAAATCCCTCTTCATGAATTATTCTTGAAGCCTCGTTCCATATACTTGCTTTTCTTAAAGTTGCAACATTGGAATGCATCCCTTGAACCTGATAAAACAAGACAAAGGAAAAACACATTATGGTCGAGATACTTACTCATCAACAAATAAGACTTTTGATAATACCCAAAAATATAAAAATAACCTATATAAATAAACATCAGAACCTTATTACTATCCATTGAATCCACTTTGTAATTCATAGACTCATAATGATGATGTTTGCAAAACAAGATAAGGAAATGGTGTTTCTTGAAACTGACATGGGATTGGCTCAGCAACGGCTCCATTGTATGTCCTAAACATATTGAAGCCGATTGCTAAACAAACGACTAATTAATTAGCATTTTATGGATACCTGTAGATGAAGCCAATAGCTTTTTCTTATCATTTCTTGGAGGTTTTCGATTCCTTGTGTTGCTATTAAACTCCAGCCCAGTTTGTTCTGTGAGCTTTAATGATCTACAAAGTTCTGATAAAATGGAGAAAAATAAAGAGGTAAAAATGAGGAAGATTCAATGTTTAGTACCTTCCAATAAATTGGCTTTAATGTCAATACAGGAATATACAATAATTTAACCATATGTTGTAAGTTTCAACAATTCCATTTCCTTTTAGAGATTATTTGAAGAATCAGGAAGGGAAGATAATATTACATAAAGACATGATAGAATACATGGATTATATTTCAACTCATACGTAATGTTGCCTCCTAAAGATGTCGGTTGACGAAGAGAGGCATTAAAGATGGAACCAGATGCAGACAAAATGCATATTTCACCCCTATTTTGTTGCATAAATTGCATGATTTTCTGGCCAACACCCTAATGAATACATGCTCAGATGATTATAGAAGCAAGATACACACAGAAGAAATATGAAATCCAAATTGGATAAATTCCAAACATAATATATTCAAACATCATGGATGCAGGAAAATTGACAATGACATTTAGAAAATTAAGATCCTAAAACATCTTGGCAGGCGTTGAACTAAAAGGAGAAAAGACTAATGTCCGAAAATACATAACATGCATATTTTGCTTAAATAAATTGTTATTTGTAGAAATGTAAATGAAGTTATTTTTTAATGTTGTTGTTATAGGTGCAGTTAGTAGGTTCAAATTGGTGAACATCAGCAAGAGACCAGGTGTAACTAAAGTGCCTCTAAAAGCATTATTCTTGGATTGGAGCAGAGAAATCCCTCCCACCAATACACAATCTCAATTACAAGACATAGTCACCTTATTTATCAACTCGTTTTCCATCAACTTACTTTCACAAAGAACTTAATATACCAAGTTATAAATTTACAAAATTGAAATCATCAATACTACATAAATATTGAAATCTATTTGAAAAATAGTTGGTCACAGTCATGATGAATCATGGCTGAGCATATCAGTCATCAATCCTTCAAACTTGATACCTCACATAGAACTAACAAGTGCCATACAAACAAGGTGGCCAAGGACATACTAGCAGTATAAAATAAGAGCCAATAACTGGTTTTGTTTTCTAACTCTAATAAAGGCACGAGGCACAAAAATTATAGTTACAGGACAGTAGGTATTTGTAAGTTGTATGCACGACCTAGTGTGTATCTACTCGTGAGATAGGTTGATAATGAGTTTAGTAGATATACCCAGAAATACATAACTCCGCCATTTCAGACTCTAACTGAGCCTAGATGTGAACCCAAGTCACTATTCTTACCATAGAAATCCAAAATCAAGAAGCAATATTCAAGGACAGTGAAAAACGCATACCTCACCAGCAGTAACAACAATGACATGTACACTGAAACCTTGTGCTGCATTGCCTGCATCACTCCATTTGCAGAAGCATCAAATTAAAATTACAGACTCTATCATACACTGATATCTTTTGTTAATGCTAATCAGTAAAATAGTATCCAAAATATAAACTCAAGCTACATAACCAAGAAAAGTAACACATAAGCGAGCACCCTCTAATTCTTATAAATAACATCCAAGAGAAACAAATGAATACCAATCAACCGACAACACGAAAACACTGTCTCTTACTCGACTAGTGGATGAATTAGTAAAGAAGCAGCTAAATCTTGACACAAAATAACTTAAACTATGATTAAGTACAACACAAAAACTATTTTAACTCGAATATTAAATCCAATATAGTTACAACATTAGTGGATCAAATCAAACACAAAATCAAATCTAGATTACTTAGTTTTCAAGTGTGAAGAAAATAAGCATGGTTTCATTTCATATACACAAACTTGATAACTCGGAATAAGAGAGGGTTTCATTCCATCAACAAAATTCATAGCCAGAACAAACCAGAACGTAATCAAAAAGCAGCAAGCATATATTTTTATATTCTTACCAAAATTTGATGTGCATGACTGTTTTGCTAGCCTTTCAAAAAGTGTTTGACTGTGTTGTTCATGGCTTCAAAAAAAATGAGTCTTTCATGACTCCAAAACATTCAAAAAAATGGCTGAAAAAATTGCATAAAACATTAGAATACATAATATACTCAACAAACATGGATTAATAAAATACAAGTGATTTCAACCTTGATTTGTTTTAGGCACAGCCAGAAGGCTGTGACTGAGTCAGAGAGGATGACAGAACTCCACTTCCGCCTGAAGTTTCAGAAAATCCTATAATACATTATAAAAAAAATTAGTAAAATATTACAAAACAATTTACTAAAAACACTTAAGAAATATTTAAACAATACCTTGTAAAACATCTTCAGGAATCTCATACTCCTCGTTGAATTCCAAGTCTTTGAATTGGTAAAAAGAAGGCCTCAACCAATTCTGAGCACAAATTAGAGCCTCTGCCATTTATGGTTTGAGAGAGCTTCTATATACCTCTAAAACTCTCCCACCCGTGCTAAAAGCACTCTCAGAAGCCACGGTTGAAACTGGCGTAGGCATGAAATCTCTAACTATTTGGGACAGAATTGGGTATTGACCGGCATTATGTTTCCACCAACAAAGAATGTCAAACTTTTTATTATCCCTCTCATTAAAATTTAAACATTTTCCTTCTATATAGTTTTGAAGCTCTGTTTCTTCTTCCACTGAATCCATAGACATTAAATGTTCCTGAAATGCATTTTCCCTAGCTATATATGTGATTACTTCATCGTTGGCATCTGTTTCACCATGAGAAACAACCGTTGCAACAGGTGGAATTGAGCCTTCAGCAGTGTCATATTCTTGTTTGTAAAGATTGAACGTCTTTGAAAGATTGTCATTGATGTCTTTTAATAGGGATTTTGTAGTGTCAGATTCTTTTCCATACATATCATTAAAGCATCATTCTACACATCTTAACTTATACCAGGGATCAAAGATAACACCAAAATAAAGGAGTTGGTTCATCTTAGTGATATCAACCCAATATTTACTGTACTTTTCCAACATGTCCCTAGCCACCTCAGCAAACAATCCATTAAGGTCCATGTTTAATTTCTTAAGCTCAATGTAAATGGCAGCCAAGTACGAAAAAGCAGTATGCAAGCTTGCTTTTGTTGAAACAGAAAATACCTTTGTCGCTTCATAATAATTCTTCAAAAACTTTATAAACACCCTAACATTAACCCAATCTTGACTACTAGGGGGAATCAACCTCAAAGAAATCCCTATACGCTTCATCCTCATCTTCTAACTTATCAAAAGCTATTTGAAACTTTTCAGCCGCATCTAACATCAAATATGTCGAGTTCCATCGAGTTGAAACATCAAGACATACTGACTTCTTGCATAAGATCCGAACATATTCCACACATTCCTTAAACTTTAAAGCCCTATGGGGTGAAGATCTAATAAACCTAATTGCATTTCTAACACTTGAAATTGAGGTGTTAGCTACTTGTAATCCATCTCTCACAACTGGATTCAATATTGGGCACAACACCTCATGTGAAACCCAAATCCATCCATCAAAAGTCCATTCATGTTTCTTACTTTTTGTTCCAAATATTTAACAGCAACATCATTTGATGATGCACTATCCACCATGATGGTAGACACATTTCTCAGCCCCCACTCCTTCAACACGTCCTCAACCTTCTTACCAACAGTTTTACCCCGGTGATTTGGAATAACCGTAAAGCTTATTATTCATTTTTAGTAATTCCAATCTCTATCAATAAAATGGGCAGTGAGGGTCAAGTAATTTAGGTTTTGGAAAGAAGTCCAACAATCTGTTGTAATTGCAACTCTACTACAATCAGACTTAAAGAACGCTTTCAACCTTAATTATCATCAACATATAACTGATAGCAGACCCTAGCTATGGTTCTCTTTGACGGTATACAAAATTGGGGTTGCATTTGCCTACAAAAGTGCTTAAACCCCTCCCATTCAACTGTTTTGAATGGTTTCTCATCTAAAATGATAAAATAAGCCAATCCGTTTCTACAAGTAACATGATTAAACCTAGAACTTAATGAAAGCAGCCCACTTCCCTCGGTTGTTGAATATGACAAGATTGTTTGGGTAGGGTCAGTAGACACATTTAATGGATACTTTGGACATGTTTTCATGTGACTCTTTAAGTTTGAAGTTCCATGTTTCTTAGAGTCACACATGTACATTTGATGGCAATACTTACACGCAGCGGTTGGTGGGTCACTATTAGGAATAAGGTTAAAGTGATCCCATACCTCAGATCTTTTTCTATTACCATTGGCATTATGTCTTCTTTTCTTTACGCCAGTTGGTGGAAGATCGGTTGTTGCTGTAGTTTGTTGCCCACTTGTTGTTTGTTGTCCACTTGCTGAAAAAATTGGAGTGTGGTGTCCACTTGCTGAAACAAAGAACTTAAATTATTAAAAATTACTACATTGACAGTATGTAATTTTATATGACAGTAGCAGTACTTAAAAAATGAACAAAAAAGGAACCAAGTATCATATATATAGCATTATGACAGCAGCAGTACATTATGTGAGTGAACAATGGTAACTAAAAACTGCAGGGAATTTCTTGTGATATTTTCAACGAATTTTGGTATGTAACAGTTCTTAACAGAATTATTTAACCTAAAGTGTCCAAAAGTTCTATCATTTTTCAATTTTTTTCAATTTAGAATTTGACATGACAATACATCACAGTGAGCCTAAACTTACATGTATTTTGCATATCTCTAATTCCTCCATCTCCTTGCATTTCTCCAGCTCCTTGCATTTCTCTAACTCTTGCATTTAAAACAGAATACAATATATTAAAAAAATCAGAGCAAGTCTAAACAAATTAGAGTATGTATTCAAACTCCAACACTTGATACATTAACTTCAGTAACTATACAAAAAATAACCATACCTTTTCAACTCTCTTAAGAGAATTATCAGCAGCACTGTAATGAGAAAAACAAGAGGGATTAGTATTATTAAAATATTAGGATTGCAAAACAAATTAAGCATATTGAGAAGAATACAACTTGACATTGTTTCTTTATTTTTGGTTAGCCCAACAAAAAAGATACAGAATTAGTGTTTATTGGAAGCAATGGTAATAACAAGAATTAGTGTTAGAAGCCATGATTTAAAACAGAAAAAATACAGAAAAAAATCTCAAAAACTGAAGTTGTGTTAGAAGCCATGATTTAAGAACAAATCAAAGTAAATAAAAGCATAAATCGAAGATGAACTCAGACACTAAAGTTGAACTCAGAAAAAACTCATAAAAATAACAAATCAAACCAAATAAGAAAAAATCAAAAGACATACCTATTTGAAGGAATGGCTTGAGCGACGATGAAGGCTAATCATTCAGTGATGAGTGATGATGGCACAATAAGGTAGTGTTTCGTTTAGGGTTTGATTTCAATTTGGGGATGAAGGCAGCGACGGAAGCATTGCGTTGTTGTGTTTTAGGGTTAGGGAAATGAAAAGAAACTGAAGAAGAAACATATGAAAAATTAAAAACTATCTGAAGAAGTAAAGAAATTAAACCAGTCGGATTCGGAGACCGACGAGTCTAATTTATTAAACCGAACTCGACCACACTTATCCATTCTTATCCACTTAAATCATCCGCCTAATCCGTAAACCTGATAAAACCTGACCCAATGCATAAAACCTTATTTGATTCGATCGGGTAATCTCAGGTGGTTAATCTTTGTCCACCCCTAGCACATACTGCATCACGCTACCCTACCATCATGAAAATGATTTAACTGATACTACTTCTTGACAATACCACTACATTTAACGCCAACCTACCCTCTCTCTCATGTTTTTTTAAATTAAAAATTAAAAGGATATTTTCCTCATACTCCCATAAAGACTCATGCGGGACCCCATACTACATTTTCCCTATCTACATACTTCTTAATACTACACACAAAGAAAAAACTGACAGTAAAAAAATACAAATCATACTCCATGAAACCATGCACGAGCCCATTCCTTTTCTCTTCATAATACCAACGTCTCTCTCCCTTTTTCATGACATGTTCTCTCTCTCTCTCTCTCTCTCTCTCTCTCTCTCTCTCTCTCTCTCTCTCTCTCTCTCTCTCTCTCTCTCTCTCTCTCTCTTACATAACACCATTTTCCATACAAAGCCTTTTTTTTAAAATACACACACCTCTTTTCCTTCACTTTTCATAATAAAACTTCCATTTCCAGCATCTTTCATACTCTCCTCACTCACTTTTATGGAAGAAAATTAATTCTCTCTTGGTTCACTACTCAGGTGAATATACACCTCCATAAACATTATCTCTATCTTTCCATTTTTTCCTCTTCCACCCTCTTCATGTAATACCATGGTTCTACATGATAAATCCACCATATAGAACTACCATTATTCCTTCATCATATGAGTATCCCCATGCTACAGTAAAAAAAGAGCGTCTTTTTTTCTTTCGAAAACACCTCCACCTTGCAAACGTAATTGCAGCTCTCACCATTGCAACCACTCTTTGTTACACATGTAATACTCCTTCAATAATAAACCTTCATACTCCATTCTCCATCTTCTCCACTTGCCCTTATCACTATCCATCTACGCACATAGGTAGCTATTTCGCATAGCACCCTCTCGCGCAACAACAACACCATAAGAACTCTCATCTTCCACACCATCACCTTCTTATCTTCACACTGTCTTTTCTTGTTTCATTTGAAAAACCACAAGACCATAACTCACAAATCAAGATAACTTCCACAAATCAAGATACTCATACTGCTCATAAACCGTGCCACTCAACAAATCAAGATAACTCCGCTTGTTTTCTCCTTCTCCGACATAAATCAACAATTACACCCAAATTTCTACCATTCTGTCGTTTCGGTAATTTTCTTTCATTTATTTTCTTCTTCAAACCAATGAATTATCTTATGTGAAGGATTTGTTCTTATTTTGAATATATATACATGTTAATGAGATAGTGCATGAAGGTTGTAATGAAGATTGTAATGTAACGTGTGAAGTTTGGAACCATTTTTCCTTTTTAAGTTACAGTAAGAAATTTAAAAAATATAGTGAAAGCAAAATGTGTTTCTTAAATAATTTGTTTCTTACTGTAAGTCATACGTATGTGTTGGATGTTATATAAGTCAAATGCAATGTAACTATGATTGGAAGCTATTTGAAAAGCTGCAGGAAAAACCAGAAAAATACTTCTGTTTTTTAGGTTGTGTTGTTTAGCTTTTATTTGTTACTTTGTTTAGTTTTAGTAGACACTATATATACATTTTGTAACATGTTGAATGAAAAAATGCTATATGAATTTTTTACCCTCTCAATTAATCTCTATTCTCTCTAAACTTCATCTTCCCCAATCCTCTAATTTCACCAAAATTATCCATCACCTCCATTGATTCACATACAAGCTTTTGTGCTTGTTCCAACATTTGGCATCAAGAGCATTGGTTCCAATCCTATTCCACTGCAATGTCCATTTCAAACGACAAGATCCCCACCAATCTTCCCATTATTGATTCAAAGAACTACAATAAAATGGTGCAAACAAATGAAAGTTTTGTTTGGCTACCAAGACGTGCTCGATGTGATTACTACCGGTGTTACCCTTCTTGTTGAAGAGGCTACAACTGCCCAACAAGCCACTCACAAAGAAGAGAAGAAGAAAGACTACAAGGCTCTCTTCTTGATACATTCTTGCATCGATGAAGACAATTTCGAAAAGCTTGATGATTGTGACTCGGCGAAGAAAGCTTGGGATATACTCGAGAAGGCGTATGCGGGAGTTGGCAAAGCGAAGGTGGTGAGGTTACAAACTCACAAGAGGCAGTTTAAATTACTCTAAATGGAAGACAAGGAAACGGTCAATGATTATATAACGTGTGTGACGCGTTTGGTGAATCAAATGAAGGCTTGCGGTGAGTCAGTTTCGGATGAAAACATTGTGTCGAAGGTGTTGCGTTCTTTAACGACAAGATTCACCAACATTGTTGTTGTGATTGAAGAATCGAAGGATCTCAAGACCATGACGAAGGATGAACTACAAAGTTCATTGAAAGCTCATGAACAAAGTATGGATGAAAGAGGAAACGATAAGGCAAAAGCGGAAGTGGCTTTGCAAGCTCGTTTCAATGAGAAGAATAAGAGATCGAAAGGGAAATGGTTTTCTAGAGATAAGAAGAATTTCCAGAATTTTGGTGGAAAATATCCAGAAAATTCAAGAGGACAAAGAGGAGAAGGAACCTCCAAGGATGGTAGTCAAGGCAACTACAAGCCGCTCGACAAAAGTACCAAGAGACGTTACAATTGTCAAAAGCTTGGACATTTCTAAAGAGATTGTCATTTCAAGCACAAGGAGAGTGATGCGGATGAAGCGAAGGTTGCTAGGCAAGAAGTGTATGATGATAGAAAACTTCTTGTGGTGATTACGGAGGAGAATAATGGCATGGACAGCAGTAGAAAGTTGCTGGACAGCAACTACTGCAGTGCAGAAAAACTAGAGAAAATGCGTTCGGAGAAAAACGCATTAGTAACGGTTCGAGATGGAGTCCAAGATAGTGATGAATGGTACTTGGATTCTGGTTGTTCGATGCATATGACGGCTAGAAAAGATTGGTTTGTGAATATCAATCAAGCCACGCGAGTTAGAGTCAGATTCGCGGATAATACGACTTTGGCGGCCGACGGTGTCGGTGATGTCTTGATCATGAGGAGGGATGGTGGTCATTCATTGATCAAGGACGTTTTGTACATTCCTGGAATTAAGTGTAACCTTTTAAGCATTGTCCAATTACTTGAAAGGAATTACACATTTCGCATGGAAAACAAAGTATTGCGCATTTTGGACCAAAATGGAGTTTTGATTCTTAAGGCTCCTATGGCTGCCAATAGAACTTTAAAGATTGAGTTGAAAGTTATGGAGCATAGGTGCTTAGCTACTGCTGCAAGTCGTGAGGAATGGTTATGGCACTACCGTCTCGGTCATCTCAACTTTCGTGATCTCGACGCATTACAAAGACATGGTATGGTGTCCGGGCTGCCAAGAATTAATATTCTAGCTGAAATATGTGAAGAGTGTGTTCACGGGAAGCAACACAAGAGTAATTTCATCAAGGATGCGGGTCATAGGACCAAGCATCACCTTGAGGTGGTGTATTCTGATGTATGCGGACCGAAGCAAGTCAATTCCTACGGTGGCAATCGATACTTTGTCATGTTTATTGATGATTTTAGTAGGAAGTTGTGGATTTACCTCATTAAGAGGAAGGATGAGGTGTTTGAAGTCTTCAAACGGTTTAAGTCAATGGTTGAGCACCAATGTGGTAAAAAGCTCAAAACTCTCAAAACGGACGGTGGTGGTGAATTCACATCTGGTGAGTTTATGAGCTATTGCAATGATGAGGGGATAATCCGTGAGGTGGTGCCTCCCTACACTCCACAACAAAATGGCATTGCGGAGAGAAAAAATCAGACAATAATGAACATGGTACGAACCATGTTAAAAGGCAAAAAAGATAACTCCAGAAGAGGTATGGTCCGGATTCAAACCGAGTTTGAGTCACTTGCGCGTTTTCGCTTTGGTTGCGTTTTGACACATTCCGGGACAACTTAGAAAGAAGCTTGATGATAAGGGTGAGAAGTTGTTACTTGTTGGATATCATCCTACCGGAGGCTATAAATTTTTTGATATGAGTAGCAAGAGGATTGTGGTACATCGGGACGTGATTGTGGATGAAATACAGACGTTTGACAGCAAAATT